GGGGGGAGACTCCTCGTCTTCTTGCTACGGTAAAGTTTAACTCATACTAATTATTAGCATTAGACGGAGGAACGCATTACATAAATCATTACATCAAGCAAACAAAAGTAAAATCTCGTACACTCCACAGATTTACTTCATATAATTTCTTATAAAGTTAAACAAACATTTTGTAAGCGACGCGAATCATTTACATACTTACACGTAATTACATATATATATATATATATATATATATATAATTATAATGTATATATGAATCAGTACTTACATATTATAACTTTTTTAAATATTGACGTACAAATTGTGATATTTTGATTGGTTCGCGTTTACTATTTAATTGTTATATATACCTTGAGTTTAGCAGGTCACTAATTACAGCTCTGCCGGCTAAAAGTCAACTTCGAAGGTTCAAATTCTGTAGTTTAACAAACAAACGTATTTGCTGCCGGTTATTTCAATATACGTGTGCTCGGTAACTTGCAATTGTTTATCGATTTTAGGGCGCGCGCTTGATTCATTATTCATTACACGTATTAAACTATCGCAAAAAATACGTTATTATTCATTATTTATTCATTTCAACAACGTAATAATTATATCTACTTGTTTTATCACTTTTATTCATATCAATATCAAGTGAATGGCAATTTTGCAAACAATTTCACGAATTTATTCTTATACATCCTACGGTTCTATATTTAAACTTTAATTGAAAAACCACTATATATAGCTTTGCGTTTATTAAATAATTGTTTTCAACTACGAAACAGAAGAATGAGAATCAATTCAAGATTTCCTATACGTTTACGATACAAGGAGTACGATTGTAGTATAACGGAGAAAGCAAGGGGAAAGGGCGAAGAACAGGCGCGACTGAAGGGAGACCCGCTCGGATGTTGCTTCCCCAGCCGAGAGAGTGAAGGTTAGTTGTGGTATACGTTTCTCTAGTCAAGGCACGCGCAACGCGTAATTGTGAGGATGTCGGAGGGTGCGCAAAATCGGAGACGTTAGGTAGCAACGGAGGGGTAAAACGGAGGTAAAAGAGAAGCAGCTGGTGGAGGCGCGCCGTAGCCGAGAGAGAGAGAGAGAGAGAGAGAGAGAGAGAGAGAGAGAGAAGCCCGAGGTCATTCGACGACGATAGCCGAACGGCAGACGAACAGGCGAAAAGGTGATGTCGACACGGGGAAGACGCGGGGAGGGCTGCGGCTCATTAAACCACCCTAGTACTCACGTGGCATACGGAATCGGCAATAAAATCATCCCTCGATCATCAAGGTGATAAAAATAAATGCCGCCAATATGGTGTGTGTGTGGTGTGTGTATGTGTATGTGTGTGTGTGTGTGTGTGTGTGTGAAACAATTGAAAATTAAAAAGCACCTCGACAATAATCGTTAGCAAAAACCGTAATATAAAAAACTCCGAAAATTTTGAAGTTAAAAGTAATACTTGATGTAAATTAAAATTTGAAAAATCTCCATCTGTACTCACTTAAAATTATGTATATAGATTTTATCATTATTTCTCATTGCTTAGTGCAACAGAATCGTATTACTAATCATTTTCTACGATTTGTGTGATTAGGAAAGAGAAAATGTAAATGACATCATAAATTGCGAAATTAGAATTAATAAAAGACACGAATACTTTCAAATAGACTTGAGAAGTATCGTAGACACACAGTATATTAAATTATATTTTTGTTATAAATTTAGACAGAAATGTTGAAAAATTAATTATAAAAATTAATATTAAACCAATTATATCTACGAATTTTTAGAAGGATTTTTAACACGAGTATTTGAAATATGAAATTGTTCGTTAAAGCTTGTATTAAAATAATAATTAAATTTGTTCTTTTTACTTCATCTATTTTATATTTCATGTTATAATCATTTTTACAAAACTAAACAGTTTCATAAAAGAATAACGGAGTAGACTGTAGAAAGTCAACGAAAGAAAGAAAGACACGAAACGCGATACCGATTATTTCAGATTCTTGCGAAGAATGAACATAAAGTCAAACGCAATGCATCGGGATAAATTTCCGCGGCCGGAACAACTGAGAAGAGATAAACGAAACTCCCGTTCATCCGTACATAGAGAACTAATAACGAAGTTTAAGAACTCCATAACTCGGCGGTAAATATTACAGTCGGCATACCGTTTGCAGCAAAGCTGAATTGTTCCGCTCTTAATCTCGCGATTGCTCGCGTTCAGCGTGGAAAATGTTTACAACTAATTTCAACACATTCCGAAGGAGAAAAGCGCGATAAGAAATAACTCGTAATTTCGTCAGCCTCCGTGATATCCCTGCAATACTCAACGTTTAAATACTCCCCGCGAAGCCAACGCACGATTTTATCTCCAGTTA